GTCTTCCCCCACCGCCTCCCCCCGCCGGCTAGCCCAAATCCCTCTCCCCTCCCTTTCCCGGCGGGGTTTCAAGCGCCTGAAAGCCCAGCGGGCTCCGCCGGCGGACAAAGGCGAGCGCTCAGGCGCTGGGGCTAATTCACAGGGCAGGGAGCTGTCGAAATTGCTGGGAAAATTCCCGGTGGCTTCAGCTTCGCCCCTGTACTAAAGCCGCAGCAGTGAAGAGGGAAGAGAAAAGAGGTCTCAAAGGGTCATTTTCTGGCAGCGCAAGCTGGGAAAGGATCATCTGCTCCCAAAAGCAAGGGGAGTAAGGTGGGTTTTTTTGGATGAGAAGCATCCTCAGCATCCTTTTCCCAAAGTTTTCCCCAATTTAGGGGACACATTCAGCGGAGAAAAGATCAGCGGTGTCACCAGCGTGCAGCAGGAAAGGGCCTGTGCAGCGAATACGCTGCCGCGGATCCAAGACAGGTGGGGAAGAGGTCGGAAACCTGCTGCTCAGAGAAGCAGAATAACCCGATAAGTTATTTCCGATAACTTATTTCCAATAACCCCATAACTTATTTCTGCTGACTTATTTCCGTGTGTTCTCGTAGCGCCCGCTCCGCGCGAGGCCCCTCTGGCGCCGAACGCCGCGCTTTGGGCCGTACCCCGTTCGTCTCTACGGATCGGCGGGGGAGAACCCTCGCGGCCCGTTCCTCAGCGTTCGATGGGAGGTACCTGAGTTAAAAATCCTGTTTAAAAACACCCCGATACGGTTAACGTACGACAAAATTCCAGGTGTCCTGGGAGAGCTCCCTGTGAAATAGGATTCCTGGCAGGCTGCACAGAGAGAAAGAGGGAGAAAGAAGGGGAGGGGGGAAAAACAAAAAAACAAAAAAAGGAGTAGTAGATGCTTTGTTGCGGAAAAAGTGCTCCGGGGGTCAGGAGCAGGGTGACGCAGGCCATCTGGCCCTGGGTGGGGAACTGGGCTAGTTCCAGCTCATCGAACACTCCCTTTCCTTTTGGGGAGGGAAATAGAGTTTTTTGGGTTTTCCTCCCCTCGCAAAGCTCCCTCCCTGCATATAAAAATTCCTTTGCGAGTCAAACCCCGCCCTGGCTGCGATCCCCCTTTATGCAGGGATCACGGGAAGGGCGCCATGCCCCCGAAATTGAGGTGGAGACCCCCGAAACGGATGCAGGGAGGGGGACGGCTGCCTTCCGCCACCAGCTCCCTACGGATAAAACACCTTCGGCGCTTATCTCCCCGGAAATTTATTTCCGGGTAGAGGTTATTGCCTCGCAGAGAGAGCCCGGGAGCGCAGAACGCCACGGCTCTCATGCCTCGCTCGATAGCCTCGGGCACGTCGCTACAAACAGCTCCGTGCCTCAGTTTCCCCCATCTTTAAAACGAGGACAACACCGTCCCTGCTGCCGCGGCAGACGGGGTCAGCCAGCTCCCGGGGCCG